CCAGCTCTTGATTTACGATTAGAAACACACAGCAGCAAGAAGCTGCACTTTTTGTCACTGGATCACTTTGCATTTACACTTTTTCCTCTGCATATGACCGTACTTAAAGTTCAGGATTCATTTTCTCTGGCTACACACCAGAACAGGCTATGCTCATTGGTACTGATACAATAAATGAATTGTGCTTATTCTCTAAAACCATCATTCTTTGAGACGTATCTTCTTGTGGTGTTCTGTGCAGCCAAACTTCCTTTTTCCTGTGTCTGCTGTAGGCTGAATCTCAATGCAGGACTTGATAAGATTGGATGTCTTTGAAGTAGTTACTAAACTAGCTATTCATCTTTGAGCCCTCTGGGTTATTCAAAGGGAAAAAAAAATTTAAAATTGCTGTCTTTACCATATAACATAATTGTGCTTTCAGGTCTATTGGTGTTGATAAGGCTTGTTCAAATTTGGTAGATAAAATAAAACAACTTATTTCTGTCCTTATTTGAAAGTGGAAAAGAATGGAAACAAATGCACATATGAGAGGAACAGGGAAGTGACAACACATACACATGCAGGAGATTAAAGATGAAGTGAATGAAGAAGGAACTCTCTGGAGAGTGACTAGAAATTATTAGTAATACTGATCAACACTCTGTTCCAGCTAGTAATTAAAATGATAAACCCATGTGACTTAGGTATTATGTACCTTGTGTAGTGTTTTCTCTCTCCTTATCACACCTGTTCTGCTATCAGGTCTTGCAAGTTAATTGTAATAGAGATGAACTCTCTACGTTTTGTACTGCTGTCTTTTATTGAAGGTAAGGACAGACAGAAGAGGAATAGAACTACAGCCTAACTGAATTACTAGTATTATGTCATTAGAGGCAAAATTGAATCTGTCCTGACATATTGTCTGACAAGTTATTTCATAAGAATGAATGTTTCTAGAAGAGCTGCAATAATGTATTTATGATCATATGTCATTATCAAATAGCTGTGCTCTTTGCCATATCCTTCTGTCTGCTTGTTGCCTACTTGTTAGGACATCATGGTGGGTGTTTCCACACAGGTTGCTGCATCACAGTTCTGCCTCCAGCTGCCCTTCCTTGCAGGAATGTAGGAAAAAGTTAACCTTTAGTAAAATGCTCAGTGTGAAAAGATGTAGTCAAAAGATCACCACTGAAGCTAATGCACACCAATGGTGGTTACTACCATGCACGTGGTGTGGGCTTGGATTTTGTGGGGATTCTTGATTTGGTGGGGCTGGTTTGGATTTTTCCCCCCTCGATGACTGCCTTGCAGGCATTTTGTTATTTGGAATTTCTCTTTCATTATCAACATTGTGGGAGGTGGTCTTAGCCACTAAGAAGCAGCCTTTCTAAAATCCTTTCAAAGCTCCTGACTTAACTGTGCCAGACCCCTCCTAACCATCCATGTAGTTAATATGATGAGCTTTATGAATGAACATGTTTGGGTTTTATTTATGGTTTGTGTGTGGGTTTTTAAAAAAATTTTTCTCCTGAGTGTGTCGGGCTAGATTGTCAAAGTCATATTTCTAAAAAATAATCTATAATCTTGCTTTTACAGACCTAAAAGTTGTGAGTTTGGGCTGTTCTTAAACCCTCTACCACAGTTACAAATATTAGATTTAGTGGATTTTCCTTTTTATTTTTTCCCTCCCCCCAGTGACCTACATCTTATGAATACTGTCTTGTCTTCATGCTTATGCCTTGTGTCTACTCTGTCTTTTTGTTTGTTGGGTCTGTTCAATCTGTTTGTGTTTCAATTAGTATCTGACTAGAGCTCAGTCTTATAAATACATAAAATTACTGATGTGCACAAGTATCCAAGCAGTTGCTAGTATCATATGCATGAGTAGGATTGACTGTGTTCATCACTTCGTAGAGTTGGGGGAGTTGGTATGCAGCAATTTCAGCTAACAGTAAATACAGGGCTCTGTTTTGGAACAATGGAGTAATGCTGAAGCGTGTTTTAGCTAGTTGGGAGTTTTGGGGGTTTTAACTATGTATGGCATTTGTACCACTGATCAGTATATGCACATAGTACATACATGGTACCTTTTTTTTAGTTTGTTTTGTCTTTGGCTGCCTAGAAAACCATGAAACTTTACTTAATAAAATTGGATAGCATATAAAAGGCAAAGTGAAGATGCCTCAATATTTTTGCATAGCAGAGACTACAGGGGAAGACCTGTATTTTTTTCTGAGCAGCAAACCTGAGGGCTCCAAAGACCTTTGCCAAACTATGCAAAGGTTATCGAGGGGAAACAGTTTTAGGCCTCTCAGGTACTTAATAAGTTCATGTCAAAGTTGGGACCTAGGATGAACACAGGATTCCTTCGTGGAATCACATCAGAGGGTAGGACAGTTACATCAGGTTGGTCTTGGCCCAAAACTTCTATAATTTGTGAGGTTTGAGGTTTCCTTTTTACATTGAACTGGGTTTACTTGCCAGCTAGTTCTGTATTCATAGCAATCAATGTTTCCCTGTATTGAGCTTTTAAATGCCCTTTGTGAGTTCCTCCATGTGACTCCTGCAGAGTCTTGTAAGCTCTGGGGCTAGCGACAGATGTGGTTGCCTCACGTGTGTGCTGCTCTGCCCCAGGCCTCTGCAGCACACTGGGAACTCGGTCTGTGCCGCGCATGAAGAGCGTGAGTGTCCGCTGGGCCCCTCTTATGCTGTGGAACCCAGCTTTTTAATGCTGCCCTGAAGTTTTCTGGCTTTCCCAGCACTCCACTAAAGTTTTCTTCTTTTTCTGTGTTGATCTATGGTCATAATCTTGATGTAATATTTTTTTTCCCTTATGTTTTACAGTGGTTTGAACTTTATTGATTTGATGGTGCGACAGGGGAATATCGACAACCCTCCTAAGACGCCGCTTGTTCCTGGGTTTGAGTGCTCTGGAATTGTAGAAGCTTTTGGAGATAGCGTGAAAGGATTCGAGGTAATATCTTCTTCATTTTCAGAGCAAGACTAAATAATCACAAGCTCATGGTAACCTTCACCACCCTGTTAAGACTTGAAAGGGCAATTTTTCCTTGCCACTTCCCAAGCGTGAGAATGACCTCTTGAAGTAGTTGCTAAAAGCCACCACTGCCATCTCCTTAAAATCCTTCCTGAAAAGTCATGTGCCACGTGCATATCCTGATGGCTAAATAGGAACTGGAGAGCGTGACTTGAGAATCTCTTTCACCTAACAGAATATTGGTAAATGGCAAATAGTTAATGCATATAATAAAGCTTTCGTAACTGCTTGGCATTATGTCTGCATCAGTAGCTCTTATTACATACAGACAGCATTCTGTCCTACCTCCTCTTCCATCATTGATGTTAAACATCTATATTCCCTCCAATCTTGTACTGTTTTTCCTAAGCAGATAGAAAAATCTGGAAATAAACTGACTTAATGCATGTCAGTCCTATCTTAAGTTATTTGCTGAGTCAGTCATATCATCAAGTAATCTCATTTTCTGAATTCTTACTGTATCTTGATCTTGAGAAGGCAATTACCTGAAGTTGGTTGGTTTTTTAAGAGTAGCATTTTTGCTCTTCTAGAAGAGCTGTAAAACTCAGTTGATTGAATATAATGGCCAATTTAGTTTCCAGTAAGGTCTCAGTGATGAGCTCTCCTTAAGACATTTTTCTACCTTCTTCCTCTTGCCCTGTCTCTGCCTTGAACCAAGTAATAATCTTCTAGCTTTTTTTGTGACAAACAATAACAGAACAGTAACTTTGCTGTTTGATAAACTCTACTGCTTCAGTTCCACTCTAGTATCTGTGGTTTATAGTTACACTCCATAGAGTAGACAAATGGTGTATGAAAGGACTATAGAAAGTCTCTGCTCTAGATCAGCATTCTCAGTTGAACAGTTCTTGCTATTTTTGAAGGACATTATGAGGCTACAGCATATGGTGCTTCTTTGGATAACGCTGCACCTGACTGAATATACCACGTGCCTTTTTAAATTACATCTTTGTTCTGACTATAGAACATGTTTATGCTCCAGTGTCCTCCCTGAAATTGAAACAAGCCATAATTTTTTATCTTTTGCATATAATCTGCATAGCAGTGGCAGCATTCAAGCGACCTAGAAGAAGAGTTAACACAACTGCTGTGCATGGGTATGAACCCATCGACAGGAGAGTGTACCATGAGGAAAGTGGAAGAACCTTCTGTTGGTTTCTTTATGCATTTCTTGCACAGAATAGGAGCACTCCAGGTGCTTGTTGTCCCCCTGACACATGCTGATACCACTGCCTGTAGCAGCAGCAGGTATG